AAAACGAGGAACCCCTGGTCCCTTTTTGAGCCTAGGTGATAATTTAAAGGGGCCTTATCGAGGACCATAATTGGTTTTAATCCAAAATAAAGTGTATACCTTTTGTTTTTTTTACAATAAATTGTTAATGATTTTTTCAATCGAACCCCCCGGGAGGGGCCCTTTTTTTCATAGGGGCCTAATTAACAATCTTTGTAAGGACCACTAGATTCTATGCCGTTTTAAAATTTTAAGAAGATATTGTTTTTGAATTGCCTTTTTTTATATAAAGCAAAGGGGGGTTCTGAATTTGCCAAGGCAAATTTTTGGTTTCTCTCTTAAAACGTTATTTTTCATTAAAAAAGCAATGTTTTTGGGATATTTTGTGTTTTGAGACTTATGAAAAGTTTCAAGCGTTTTTCACGTTAAATCCCGGGTAAGAAAGTTAAAAAAAATTTAATTTAAGTGAAAATAGGAAAAGTACGCGAACAAAAGGGGATAATTCAGAAAAAAAAGGGGCGAAAAATCCAGCGAAATAACCGTGTACCGTATATTTTTGGGGATAAAGAGATATATTTTGGTTTTCCAAAGCCCCGCAACGCAATTTAACATGAAAAGTTTTAAAAGCAAATTGGGGAGGTAATTGCACCGCTATTACAGGGCTGCAAAGAATAAATGGGTTTGGCGAAACTACATGGAAATTTTTCAGACAAGGGTTTAATTATGGTTAGTGGGGAAAATAAGGGGGAAAATCTTTCCTATCAAAAAAAGTTTTTCCCCTTTTTTTTCCCAGATAGTGGAGAGTGACACGTATTGAATAAAACATTCCCCTTTTTGGGGGATAAAAACATTATAAAACAGGTATTTTATACTAAAAGGTTCGAAAAACGCTGATTTTTCCATAAAAATCAGAAAAACGGAAACTTTAATAAAATGAGAGCCCCCCGGGGGGAGCCCTTTTTACCCTTGGTCATAATTTGAAAAAACTTTTGAAAACAACTAGATGAGTTGTATCCAAATATAGTCTTACTTTTCATTTTTTTTTTTACAAAATTTTGTTTGTTTTTGTTTGTATTGTTTGGATTTTTACGCACGTCAACACATAACTGGCCAATATCGTGCGAATGCATATATAGGCTTAAAAATGTTTAGCTGTAAAAACATTGTAAATGACAATCAGAATGAGCCACACTTACGATCCTACAGAGTTTATTCTTTTAAATAATCATTATGTTTTTTTTGGCTGGAATTGTTATTTAAAGTTCTTTAGGAAATTTACAGAATAAAATCATTTACGGGCTGTGAAATCATGAATTCAAAGAGAAAAATGCTTGACAGTTAAATTTTCATTACAACCTTACACGAAAGGGGCATTGTCATTGTGAGGAGATAGAGTGGGTATTTAGTGTGTCCATATCGGCATCGAGAAGAACTGTTTGATCAACGGCTGTGTGACAGGTAGAATGGTGAACATATTCAGGGATGGGTTTATATCGTAGAAAGTTTAATAAAAAAACGGCATAGTCCCAAATGCTTTCCATTTCAGATCATACGAGTTTATTTATAGTCGCGTCTAAAATCGACAAGCAGGTAACCAAATAGTCAGTTTTTGAAAAATTTAAGCATTGTTTAGCTAAAAGCATCTACTTCTCGTTATTCCTACATGGCTTGGAATCCCAATATAATTTAAAATACTTTTGTTTTTGAACTATATCATGAAATCGGTAAAAGGCGAACAAGAGTTTCTTTACGCATATATTGTCAGATTTTTTATTTTTTTAAATGGACTATTAAACAGAAACAGCCGAAGTCAGAAATATCACATTATCGTGGTATGCTGTGCTATGTCTGACAATGCTAAATCGTGAGCTTTTGCTTCAACAGTAAATTGATGCATTATTGGTAACCTCCATACCTAGATGTTTAAAATTATTTTCAAACACAGCCGCACCGTACTTTGGGCAACCTTCTTTTAGAACCGTCCGTATAAATTATGTATAAAATCTCTCCACCTGCTTCTCTCCCTTAATTGCTAGAAGCTTTTCTTTGAAATATTCACGGTGAATTTGAATGACGCCTATTTTTATATTGAAAGATAATAATTATTTCCGGGAATATATAAAGTCCAAGGTGGAATACTCATCGTCCATTTTGAAGATACTGTCTGTTTGATTAATTTTAAGTTATCTAACCAATCTTTTAAACGAAGCCTAATGGTTTAATTACTTTTTGAGTTTGTTAACAAATTTTTCAGATATAACTTGGTTTGGACAAATAATATTTTTAGCTGGATTTTTTCCTAATTAGATGAAATTCTTAGTTGCAATTGAAGTGATAGCTTTTTACGACGGAAAGATAAGCGATGGTTCCCGCTTTGCATATAGGACTTTCTTACAGGTGAAGTGCTGCGAAAAGCATCTAAAGCTAACGATAACTGGCTATGTGTATGGTAGCTAGCATGTTGAAGATATGATTTTCTTGCAGAACCCATATATACAAACCATAATCTATTTGATTGGATAAGACTTTCTGTATAATTTTCAGTAATTGTGGCCAATGTTGTACTTGATAAACCCTTAAGTAATTTAAAGCTTTAGCATTTAGGCTTTCAAATGTTATATGTTGGTTAAAGGAAATTTTTTATCATTAGATAATTTACCTAAAAATTTTAGCTCAATCAATACTGGAATTTTAGGAAAACATGTAAGTTCAGGGTCATTATGTTGTTCCGCAAATCGACAGAAACTGAACACCATTGAGTTTTTGACTTGAAAATTAACAACCGAATTTTCTATTGCCACTTTAGAATTTAATCTAAATTTTGGTTGAAGTTGCCGTTCCTTGTTCTTCATACTTTCGATCGATGCAGATAAAGAAACGTCTATTATTAAGAGAACAATCTAGCTGGTGTAAGAAAGCCGCTTTTAGGAATTTTTATTGTTTGTATTTTAAGGCCAAAAGTGTTTAACAGAAAGTAATGCTTCCTGTTGAGGAAACAACTTGTTACTTGTTGGCTGGTCCTGAGAAAAAGTTTGAACCAAGTCTTACTTTAAAATGCCTATGTGTTAAAATCAGAAGAAATGAAAAAGAGAAGTCTGCCATTAAGTCCAAGCATGCCTTTAAATCTTTCAGGATACTAATTTCCAAGTCAGTGCCGGTAAGGCTTTCTCAAAGATCAAAGAAAATTGATACAGGTGTTGTTTCATTACAAAGGCTTCTCTAATAAAACGTCTTAAGTCTATACAATTTAATCGGTTTGTCTTCGCTGTTTTACAAAACCTGACTGGGAAAATAAGTTGATAGATTTTTCTAGGTACCAAAACTACGATTGTTTATCTTCTTTCGATGTTTTGCGAGGCAACTTGTTAGTGAATTGGAGATAAGTTCTGTAGGGATCAGTTGAATCTTTTCCAGGTTTGGGGATACGGATAACCAACGCATTTTGTTTCAAGTGCTTGTGGAAATCACCAGATACCAATTTTGTTACAAAAATTTAAGAAGCAAGTCTTATTGGATTGGGTGGTTAAATGATTAGAAACTGGTTGTAAATTAATTTCGGCCGGGCCTGACAGCACTATCTTTTGCATTTGTTGATTGAAAAATTAATCATCAAGTAGAGAAAAAGGATTATAGTCTTCGTCGTTTGGTGAAGTAAACTTATATGTCTTTCTCAGCTTTACTGTTATAGTTGTTGAAAATCTATTTTGCAATAATTGCTTTGAGAAGAGTTCTATTCAAAACGTTGTTAGCCAAAGTTTCTTGCAATAATCCGTTTTTTTTTTGGCATAATTGCATCATCTGTTTTTAAGTGAACAGTTGGCTCTTTTTTTACTTACCACTTATTTTTCGTTTACTGCAATCCTTACTTTCCTGAATAGGGAGTATTTGAATTTAGTGGTTGAACATAGATTGCCGATGATTAGCGTTTTTAGGATTGAGCACTATCTTCAGCTTTGGCTCTAAATATTCTATTTTCAAGGTTTTCTGTTGGTGGGCTATGTTCAACTTTTTTGAGGAGCTTTAGGTAATACGAAGCGGCTTTTTTACATTCATCGTTAAACCATGGTTTTTTGAATTTTGTTACTTTTTATTATTTTGTTTTTAATGGAATAACTTTTGCAGGCAATTGTATGTAATGCTGAAGAGAAAATATTCAGCTATAATCAGAGGTTTGAATCAAATTTCATTTTTGGTTATAGATTAATGAACAGAGCCTAGTAAATGTTTCCCAATCTGCTTCTTTTTAAATTTAAAAATTTGACGTCCTTCATTGTTAGATATTTGATGTTAGTAACAATGGATAATGATTCATTTGCCCGTAGCTGGTCAAATTCTAAACTTTCCAATCGAAGTCCAAGTATAAAACCAGGTGGACAATCGAGAGGTCGATGCAGAAAACGTACTGTAAGCTGGATGTAATATGTAGGTGACCGTATTTTAATATACAAAGCTGAAAGTTACTATCAATTTTTCAGTATGTATTACCCTTATTATTGTTAGATGGTACGCCCCACATGATTGTGAGCACTTAAAGGTCGCCTAACAAGTTAAAGGTGATGTAATTGTCGAACAATACTTTCAAGTTCATCACTTGTTACCGTATTACTATTGAGAGGAAAGGTAAAAGAACAAATTATTAGTGGTCGAATGTAAGCGTCACCTGCACAGCTAAAGCTTGCTAATCTTGTGTTGTTTAATTCTGTCTTTGAGAAATGCAATTTGTGCAATGCTTGTTACACCTGATGTTCTGGCGTTACCTAGTGCATAATATAATCTATAAGTGTATATCTATTTATAGAGATATTATTCTTAGGGATAACATTAGTCTCCTGAAGACATAATACATTTGGACGAGAATTTTGAATAGATAGTAAAAGTGTCATTAACAATCTGATTAAGACCTCGGCCCAATTCCATTGTAGGGATTAGATGCTTCTATAATCATAGTTTAAAAAATATTTATATTAAGTAGGAAACTTTATTGGATTTCTGGCATCCGGAGTTCGAGGAGGGAGAGGCTATTAATCCTTTCCCCCTCCTCTCTCTCCTTTCTCCCCACTCTCCTTCCCTCCCCCTCTTCTTTTCTTCACCCCCCCTCTCCTCCTCACCTCCCCCTCCTCCCCCCCCCCCCTCTCCTTTTTCCCCCCTCTCCTCCCTCCCGCTTCTCTGCACTCTTTCTCGCCTCCCCCTCTTCTCCTCTTCTCTCCCCCTTCTCCTCCCCTCCTCCTCTTTCTCTTTTCCTCGCTCTCTTCTCTCTCCTCTTTTCCTTCCTTCTCCCCCCCCTTTCTCCTCTTGCTCTCTCTTTCTCTTTTTTTTCCTCTCCCCCTTTGTCCTTCCCCGCTCTCCCTCCTTGCTCCTGTTCCCCTCCCCCCTCTCCCTCTTCTTTTCTCTTTCTTCCCTGTCCCTCCCCCTCTCTTTCTCCTCTCCCCTCCTTCCCTCCCTCTTCCCCCCCTCCCCTCCTTGCCCTCCTCCTCCCTCCTTCTTCTTCTCATCTCATCCTCCTTCCTCTCCTCCGCTCCCTCTCCCCCTCCCTCTTCTTTTCCCCCTTTTCTCCCCCTCTCTTCCCCTTCTTCTTCCTTCCCTCTTTTTTTTCTCTCTCACCTTCTCTTTCTCTCTCCCTCTCTCTCTTCTTCTCTCTTCCTCTCCTCTCCCTCTTCTCCGCCTCCCTCCTCCTTCCTGGCTTTGTCCCTTTTTTCCCTCCCCCCTTCCCCTTCTTCCTTCCTCCCTCTCCCTTTCCCCTCCCTCCTTCTTCCCCCTTCCCTTTCCCTCTCTTTCTTCCTCCTCCCTCCCTTGTTCCCTTCCTCCCTCTCTCCTTTCTTCCCCCCTTCTTCTCCCCTCTCTTCCCCTCTTCTTCTCCTTTCCCCTCTTCTTCTCCTCTTCTTCTCGTCTCCTTCTTCTTTTCTTTCCCCCCCTTCTCTTCTTTTCTCTCCTCTGTCCCCGCCTCCTCTCTTTTCCCTCTTTCCCTCTTTTTTCTCTCCTCTCTCTCCCCCCTTCCCTTCTGCCTCTCTCTCTCTCCCTTCTATCTTCTTCCTCCAACCTTTTTCATCCTCTTTTCTTCCTTCCTCCTCCTTTTTCTCCCTCTCCGCTTCCTCTCCCTCTCTCCCCCTCTCTTCCTCTCTCAATTCCCTTCTTTCTCTCTCCCCCTCTCTCTCCTTTTCCCTTCCCCTCCTCTCCCTCTTCTCCCCCTTCTTCTCTCCTCCCCTTCCTTTTTCCCCTACCCCTCCCCCCGTTTTTTCTCCCCTCCCCCCTCCTCTCTCCCCTGGTGTCGTGAAGTAGGTCGAACCGATTTTCTGTGTTGATCGGGTTCCGCGTTGCTTTTTTCACCCGATCTGTGATGACAATTCGTTCTTTAGAAGATTGTTTTTGATAAACTTTCTCAGACGATGCTATTTGATTGTTTGCAGTTTGCTTCTTTGGAGATGACTTTGATGGTGACTGAGTCTGCACAGAGGTAGACTGTTTACTTTGTGAAGCTGTTTGATTTTTGGTAATGGTAACTTAAGTGGCGTGCATTGGCATAAGTTGACTTGTACTGCAGAGTCAACCATCTTAACAGACTTTGTAACTGCAGCTGAATACGACAGATGTTTTGGTCCTTGTGATTCAACAAGCTTTCGTGCATCTTGAAAGGAAATATTTTGCGTATACTTCTGACGAAGAATTTCCTTTTCCTTTAACCACAAGGGGCATGACCGGGAGGTGGCGTAATGCTCTCCTCCACAATTTTCACATTTAACAGGAACGTTACAAGTCTCATTTTTGTCATGGTTTGAGCTACATCTGCGGCAAATAGTCTGCCTAACGCAATTTGATTCATGGTGACCAAATTTGAAGCATTTGTAACATTGTATTGGGTTTGGAATGTAAACCGCAACGCGAACGTTAAGGTAACCTACTCGTATAGATGATGGGAGAATGGGTGTGGAGAATGTTAGAATAAGGCTATTCGTTGGCAGTCGTTTACCATCTCTTGTAGACTGAATGCGCTTGACATTTGACACCTGCTGCGATTTTAACTCTTCAGCAATATCTGCTTCTAGCATTCCAGCAAGGTCAGAACATCTGATGACGCCCTTGCTGGAGTTTAGAGACTGGTGTGGTGTGGCAGTTGTTTAAATGTTAAAAAAGCTGGTACATTTCAGAATAATGTCTGATTGTTGTTTCCGCTCTACCTCTATCAAGAGTCCTCCAATACGGAGTTTCTTGACAGATTTAGGTGTTCCAATTAAAGCCGAAAGTTGTTTTTCTATAATGAAGGGGCTAAGTTCAGTAAGTGATTTGGAGCCGTTTGATTTGATTATTAGAAAACGGGGAAAACTTCCATCAAATGAAATGTTACCACTTGAATCTTCTTGCGATTTTCGTTTTTTGTTTGTGTATCCATGATTAAAGATATTAAAATTCGTCTCCAGGGTTCCCCAGCCACCTCGGACTCCAACATGGGGATGTGCGATGGAGACGGATATCCAGTCTCCGCACATCAAGGATACCAGAGAGATATTCTCGCATAAATTGCAAATATTTACAACCTACAAAATTACCCCATTAGCCACCGCCTTTTGGATATGTTATTTTGTATTTATAATGCATATATGAAATATTGTTTTAACATAACGGCACCCATCATAGCAGTTTCAGTAGGAATTAAAGGTATACTAGAAACACAAGTAGGAATAAAAATTTAAACACAGATTTTTTTATTTTAAATAATTTGTGTGCATTGAATTGTATTCATTTCGGGACCGTGTAAGTTCAAAGAAATTTTCAAGTATTTAAGAAATATATATCCAAGGGCAAGGCATGACCAGCCGATTGACCAAAGCCGGGCTCACTTGGTCACCCGACTACCCTAAATCAGAGGCCAAAGCAGTGTGTTAGGAGTACTAGAGATCCCTGGGTATCCTTCAACTACCAGGACCCTCTTTTCTAGGTTACGGGACGCTGCCCACGGCAAACAGGCAGTCTGGGTGTTGGCCATATGTCCGTCATACAGGCGCACAGCAGCGCACCCCCATAACGGACATATGTTACTCCTCCTCACCACGTAGAGGTACCCAAAAGAGGAGGTCTAAATTAGTTACAAAATTGCCCGGATGCAGACTGGTACCTGTTACATTAGTCTCAGCAACCGGGGAGCTTGATTTTTCTAATAAAGGAAGAGTTGTCCCGCTTGAATCTTAAGCGCATCTTATAATAAGACATTGTAGATAATATATTTGAAAATTTAAAAGTTTGTCCATGATTTCTGTGATGTATACATTTTAACTATTCAATATAAATTACATTATTCAAGTTGTATACCAATGACAAAAAATATACAGTAAAATAAAACAACACAAAAATGTAAATGTATTCAATTTATCTTAAGATACAAATTTTGCTTAAAATACTATGACTGTCGAAATACTATAGCCAGTTTACTGGAAGGGCTTACAAAATGGAGAAATCTGCAACCTATCAGTATAGTACTCATATTGATACTTAGAGAAATATATGTTATTTTAGTAAATCTACGTGCTTTTAACTGTAAAAATGTTCAGAATGATTATATTTAACGTTCGTTGAATGTTCAAAATCACAAATTACATTGGTATTGTTTGTTTCTATGTGTTAATCAGACGACAACGAAGTACAGCAAACAACCGGCTAAGCAAACAGCCCACGAAAAAGAGGTGCCAGCGAAAGCCATGACAAAGAGGAGATCATGTTTTACATAAAAATCAGAGACATTTTTTAACATCCACGATCTGCTCTTTCCTTGTTTTAACATTTATAGCATTTTTACTGGTATAGTTGTTGTTAAAGACAGAATACTGGTACATGTAAAAGTAAAATATTATCTTTTTGTGATAAAATGTGGACACTTATCGCAAACTTGACTTCTACATGTATGTTGTTTCGATTAAAATGCATCCTCTAAAGATGTAATCTAGCATCAATAATCGATCACCATTTCATTATCTTCCTATTGTCATAATCGATAATCTTTGAAACTGCAAATAATATTTATTAAACTTCTGTCTGTAATACATGTAATTAATGTACATATATCGTATAGGCTATTGAATATGCAACAATGACTGGGGATGATGTGGAGGTAAAGGTGAAGGACGTTGCCTTCAGCGCAAGAGAAGACGGCCTTGTGAGGGATTATCAGGCTGGGGAAGTTGTAACTCCTCCTGCGGCGCCACTGTCGGTACGTCTTTACATATCTTCTTGGCTTTCTGAGTCACTCTGTGAAATCATATGCATTCGGCATATGGATATTTTTAATTTTAAAATAAATATTTTGAACATACATAAATAGTGACGTTATATCAACTGCTAATATTATCTGTACAAATACTTTTCTTATGTAAGAGACGGTATTAATTCATTATCATATTTAAAGATAGTAAGTTATTGTTATTGTCAATTCAACAGCAACAATGATTGACATTAAAGGTTAATCTAAGCAATTCAACCTATTTGAGCTACATTTTTCAGGTAACATTAAACCCAAGCGAAAAGCCTGGACCCAGCAGTGCATGTGATGATAAGCTACTGTCCCCAAGAGCTGTCATCGCAAATACAAACAACCACAAGTGCGGCACTCGTGAGTATGGCGTGCAAGTCAGCACAGAGGACAGTTTACCATTCATATTTGGCAGTGAACGGCGCTGCCGCGTGTGCCATACGTTATATGATGACGACACCAAACAAGAGAAGAAGAAGTGGGAAGGGTGCTCGCACTCAACAAATGGAACAGACGACTGCGATATGTGGATCGAGCGCTAAACTTACAGATAAATTTGTTGCAAATATGCCACCCTATTTTTGCTCTGTCCAAAGGAAATAAATATGTGCTTCTAGCATAATTCATAATTGAAAAAGTTGTTCAATACATTATTTAAGTTTCCCCAATGTTTGTTCCCTTGAAGTGACCTCTTCCAGACACTGACATAATTCTTGATATACTGTGAGCAAGACCTTCTGCGTTCCACACCTTAGCTCCTTCGCCCATTGCTTTGATAAATACTCTGCCTCTTCGTGTCCACCATGGCTTTTTATTTCCTGTAATTCATTATAATATTTAAAGAAAGTAAGTAAGTGCACTTGTACTTTTTTAAATTACTTACTCTTGATGTGTAGTTTATAAAGGTATATTAACAATTTAAAGACACTCGGCATATTAACATTAATAGCAATAACAAAAATAAGACATCACCTGTAACAGAGATTTTATAATGGACTGCAGATCAGCTTTGCTTTTATTGTTTATGTCATAATGCGCTGCCCTGTCCGGCGGTGTAATGAACACTTTCTCGCAAATTCTAAAAAGTAAAAATGTTTTCCTTACACACAAACAATTAATTATTTCTAGTTCGAATTTCAGAATTAAAATCGAGGTATTGTCGCAGCAAGGTGTTTAGAATATACGCTTAATATCCAAAGTTAATTCAACTTAAAAAGGGACGGTTATGCTTTAAATAATTTTCTACAAAGTGATGGCTCTTGTAGGACTAACAAATAACTTAAATGATAATTACATAATTTAAAGTTGAAGTATTGTTATATTTTGTACGATTACTTTAGAATTATCCATATGTAGTATTTAATTATGTATCATTTATTTGATTTATTTTATATTATGACATTTCCGATGTATGATAAAAGCCGGTCTTGCGTCATACGGTCAAATCATGTACATGTTAACATATAAAATATTTGTTACCTTGTAACATTGGGATATGCTGCAAAATACACAGCCTTGTTTTGTCTACACTTCGATTCAAAATTAACGAAATCGTCGTCGAGACGTTGACCATCCACAGTTACTCCAACAAGATCTTACCATATTTCTGCACCGCCATACTATCATTGAATGTCCTCGTTAAAGACAGGAATATGTTTATTTTAATTTCATCATGTATGGCTACAATTTAATAGATATGTTTTAGGATTTAGTTTTAAAATTATTATGCTAAATAATAAGAACTATTTGTTTTAATGTTGCATACCGAAAATACTTGTTTGGTGTTTGGTACATCAGCATCTCCGTTCTCAACATCCATGTTGTACTTTATCTATAACGATGATAATATGTTGTTAAGTGTACAACTGAATCATAGATACAGTGTAACCTGTAATTAAAGGCCAAAAAATATGATAAACAAGATCAACAAGGAAAGGCGGCGTTCAATGAACGCAACCCCCATATGACCCAGCAACAAGAACCAATGGCAAGGAGCCCAGGCGGACAAGCTCAAAATGGTATCTTAACACAATGATGTCTGAATATAATTCAATTTGTACATAAGCTTAACAATTGGGTACAAAATGCTGGTCTATTAAGATTTATTCCAGATATTCGTCTTTTAATAGAAGTGGTCTGATGAGTATAATGTACTGTATTTTAAACTTCATACATCCTGGCTTTCTCTACATGTATACTTTATTTAAATAAAACTAAAAAAGGTAATTTCCATACAAATGCTAACACTTTAGATACAGATGCAATACATTTGTAAACATGTAAATGAAATGCGTTTTTTTTAATTCGCCTGAA